GGGGCCCACAGCTAGACCCAGCCCTGAGTCCCTGGGAGACAAGCACCTCTTAAGGGGTCCATCTTAAGGTTTTATGAAACAAATGGCCCCAGTTTGTTGGCAGGACATCGGAGTGGGGAAGTCCCCCCACTAGCCATCCCTGCCATACCCAGAGGTCTTTGCTACCCATCTTCTGCTACCTTTTAAAAGACTTCCTTCAGAAGGCACGTGCTTGAAGTTTACGGAACAAAGCCCACCGGTCCGACTGCTCAGGAAGCTGCTGGCCTCTCGGGCACACACCTTTCTAGGCTGATCAATCACCCTTCTCTGAGTGGTTCTCCAGCACCTTGGAAGGGCTGTACCACCATCTCTCTGTTTGCTGGCCTCTGGGGTTGTGCCCTGCGATACAGAATCAAAGCCTACAGCATGAGCACCCTTTTACAGCCTGCTCTGTGCACTGGGTGCACCATCTCCCAAGAGGGATACTGAGACGAGGAACCGAAGCCTCCACCCATGGGTCCAGGACCCCCTTCCCATGATTCCCCTCCAAGAGCCCCGTGGCGCAGAGCCAAGAAAAGGTGGCAGTTTGAACCCACCCAGTGGCTCTGCTGTTAAGATTAAACCGAAAAACAAACAAATGCCAAACTCCCTGCTCTCGATCAACTCAATTCTAACCCATAGCACTCCCTAAGACAGGACAGACCTACCCCTGTGGGTTTCCAAGACTGAACCTCTCGACGAGAGTAGAAAGCCTCATCTTTCTTTGGCGGAGGCCTGGTGGATGCAAACCGTTGACCTTACGGTTGGCAGCCCACCAGGGCTCCGTCTGTGAACATAAAGCCTGCAAACCCCAACTGGACGGTTCTGTTCTGTCACATAAGTCCAAACTGACACATCAGCCCCCAGAAGCAATCTGGCGGCTCTCTCAGACTCGGGGTCCCTATGGGCCAGGCAGGTGGGAGCCGGGGCAGAGGCAGCTGCGGGGCACCAGCTCAGCTTTGGCGGGAGCAGGCCTGGTCCCACCCTCAAAACCCGTGTGGCCTCCGGCAAGTTACTCAAGCTCTCTGAGCCTCTTTCCAACGTTTCACCGTTGCAAGAATCAGAAA